AAGATCCATTTTCCGTGGCAGGCGCAGTACAAAAGACATGTTCATGAGAGATGTTAGGAGGTCAGGGCGCTGATTTCCTGAGAGGGGTTGCATTTTGGAATATCAGATGTGCAGGTTTGCTAAGATGATTTTGCGTGACAGGTGCAGCACTTCGTATGACCTGGCATCAAGTTTCGGTGGCAGGCGCAGTACTTTAGACAGGTGGACTGGAAAAATCGCAAAACGCATTGGTACGAGGCTGTCAGCTCTGCACTCAACTTTCCATTTTTGAAGGAAGTCTCGCAGAATTCTTTCGTTTTTGATGTCTTCAACTTCGAAAGATGAGGAAGTCTCCCAGAATTGCTTCGTTTCGGATGCTGTCAAGTTCAAAAAATGAAGACGTCTCGCAGAATTGTTTCGTTTTGGACGTTGTTATGTTCAAACATTAAGGAAGTCTCGCAGAATTTCTTCGTTTTTGATCTTGCAGATAGATAGATAGATAGATTAGTTAGATAGATAGATAGATAGATAAATAGATAGAAAGACAGAAAGATAGAAAGATAGATAGATAGATAGATGGATAGATAGATAGATAGTTAGATAGTTAGATAGATAAGAGGTAGATAAGGTAGATAAGGTAGATAAGGTAGATAAGGTAGATAAGATAGATAAGATAGATCAGATAGATCAGATAGATAAGATAGATAAGATAGATGAGGTAGATGAGGTAGATAAGATAGATAAGATAGATAAGATAGGTAAGATAGATAAGATAGATAAGATAGATAGGATAGATAGGATAGATAGGATAGATAGGATAGATAGGATAGATAGGATAGATAGGATAGATAGGATAGATAGGATAGATAGATAGGTAGATAAACAGATAGACAGATAGAGAGATAGATAGATAGATAGGTAGATAGATAGATAGATAGATAGTAGGTAATTAGATGACAGAGAGAGAGAGGGAGATAGATAGATAGATAGATAGATTAGATTAGATTAGATTAGATTAGATTAGATTAGATAGATAGATAGGATAGATAGGATAGATAGGATTAGATAGATTAGATAGATTAGATAGATAGATAGATAGATTAGATAGGATAGATAGGATAGATAGGATAGATAGGATAGATAGGATAGATAGGATAGATAGGATAGATAGGATAGATAGGATAGATAGGATAGATAGGATAGATAGGATAGATAGGATAGATAGATAGATAGATAGATAGAGAGATAGATAGATAGAGATAGATTGACAGAGATAGCTAGATAGATAGATAGATCGATAGATAGATAGATAGAGAGAGAGAGATAGATAGAGAGAGAGAGAGATAGAGAGATAGATAGATAGATAGATAGGTAGATATGGATAGATATAGATAGGTATACATAGATATAGATAGATTTAGATAGAAATAGATAGATATAGATAGATAGATAGATAGATATAGATAGATATAGATAGATATAGATGATATAGTTAGGTTTAGATAGATATAGATAGATATAGATAGATTTAGATAGATTTAGATAGATATAGATTGATAAAGATAGATATAGATAGCTATAGATAGATATAGATAGATATAGATAGATATAGATATAGATAGATATAGATAGATATAGATATAGATAGATATAGATAGGTAAAGATAGGTATAGATAGATATAGATATAGATAGATATAGATATAGATAGATATAGATATAGATAGATATAGATAGATATAGATAGATATAGATAGATAGATATAGATAGATAGATTTAGATAGATAGATAGACAGATAGGTAGATAGATTGATTGGTTGATAGATTGATAGATTGATAGACAGATAAGTAGAAAGAAAGATAGATAGATGGATAGATAGATAGATAGGTTGATAGATTGATAGATGGATAGATAAATAGATAGGTAGACGGATTGATGGATAAATAGATAAATAGATAAATGGATAAATAAATAGATAGATAGATAGATAGAAAGGAAGATAGATAGATAGATGGACAAATAGCTAGAAGACTAGACAGCTAGATAGATAGGTAGATAGATAGATAGGGAGATAGATAGACAGACAGACAGACAGATAGATAGATAGAGAGATAGATAAGTAGGTAGGTAGGTAGATAATCAGAGAAAGATAGAGAAACAGAGAGAAAAAGAGAGAAAGAGAGAGAGAGAGAGAGATCAAGCACCTTTCAGTCCAGCAGTGGCTTTGCTCTGCCATCCCTGATTCACAACAACCAACCTCTCCTATAGGTTTCCTATTTTTGAAACTTCCGCCACCGCCTTGTGCGGTACTACTGGTATATAATATTATATTATTATTGTCATTTTTATTATTAGTAGTATTATTAGTACTATTTATTATTATTATTATTGTCATATATGTATATATATATTCTATTCTATCCTAGCACTATATACTTCAAGTGTGCCCCCTTACTGTAACACAGAGCATGATTCTAATTACTAGTAGGTAGGACAACGTCTTTTACTTCAGCTTGACACTTTCATTGACACTTTTGTTTCAAACTCCTCTCTCTCTCTCTCTTTCTTTCCTGCCCTCATTCATACTCAGACTTCTGCTCTGGTTGCTCTGAACTTCACTCGCAATCGCAAAATATCGTAATCGCCACTTTCCCAACTTTCCCAAGTCGGACTCTAAAGCGTGCTGTACATTGCAGTGCGAGAGACAGCTGCTCTCTTGACATTGCCTTTCAGCAGTGCATCTTTCTGAACCTCGAGAAGCCAACAAGATGCAACCTGAAAACAACTTAAAAGCAAGGCAAGCCAAATGCTCTAGAGATGATAGCCTTCTTGCAATGTCTAGCCAATTCATTCAAATTCAACCTGCTACGAGCTGTAGATTGTTTGCTTAGTTTTTGTTATGGATGTGGCCAACAATGTGCGCACAATTTGGGGCGAAGTAAACTTGAGAGCAGGAGAGGGAGAACGAAAGGTAGACAATGCGGAGGGCAAAATCTATAAAAGTTTCCTGTAAGGTTATTGCGGCATGTATTCTCCAAAAGTGGGCGTTCGGTGATTGCGAGAAGGTTTGCCGGAAGAGTTGGGTTCGTGTTCCTCCACTTAGTTAATACCGGGTGGACCTGTGGCAGAATAATGCTCTCGCTTGGCGAAGTGTTTTCTTGTTAATTTGGTCAGGAAGTTCGCCAGCATTGCCTTCAAACTGCCTCAATCGAGTTGCGTCTGGTTTCTTTTGTAAATTCTTGTTGCGCTCATTGCCGGCATCAAGAGGCTGTCAGAATATGGATGGGTGACCCATACCATGGCTACGAGTGGGTTGACAAGGACTGTAGCTCGTTTCATCTATTGACTCCATTGCTGATCTTGTATGAAGTTATCGACCGAGTTCATGTCTCCCTGCATTGGAGTCGTAACACCTGCAACTGCGCGAGCTCGCCCATCTCCCTTCCTCTCCCTCCACATGGCACGTGTTACCTGGGGGGGCCATGGTAGTGAACATTCCCTTCTTATTCTTAGCGGCAGATTTTCTGGGATGTGGCCGGCACCAGCCAGACATGCTAGAGCATGTAAAATTCAGGTAGTCGAGTTTCGAAATTATATGCAGAAAGTAATGGAGCCAAATGAACTATATAAATCTGAATCGAGTCAAAACATGAAAGTACAAAATGCCTTGCAAAGGAAATGGTGATATAGAACCCATGTTGCTTGCACATACATGGCATACACATCATCTGCAGCCTCTGGTTCTCGTGCCAAGCATCTTTGTCAATTTGAGCTGCGTTGGCTTCTTTCTTGCCTTAAAAAAAGACTGGTCTTGCGCAAAATCATATGGTTCACCCTTGAACCTGGAATATCTAGTGCGAAATATATCATTTGATGAAAACATTCAGAATTCACCAGAATTCCGCATTTTTCGCCGCACCTGCTGCCTTTGCTTTGGCCTTGGCTTTTCGCTTTTCATCCTCCTGCGCTGCCAGACAAACCGAAACGCAAAGAGGGTGGGGAAAGGTGCAGTATGATGCAGTGACTGCAGTGAGTTTGAATCACATGAAACACATTCAAACACTGACTGAAGACGGGCTAGAGAGTCCGAGATCATGTAAAAAGGGGTCAAAGTTGCCTATCAAATGCTGATAGGATTGATAGATTTGATAGGGAAAAACAAAGACTTAGACTTAAACACAGATTGCAAATGGTAGCATTCAAGGATTCTGGCTCGGGATCTCACACGATGGATGGCGTAGAACATCACTCCTTTCTGCCCATTGTTTCGACAAATCAGAGTCAGCTACTTTGCAAATGCTGCAAAAGCGGCAACAAGAGGAGGTGAAGGACAGTCAAATCAGTCAAATCAACTAGAAGTGGAAATCCTCTCTTTTGATCTCTTTTGCCTGTGCAACCTTCTCTGAAATCAGCCGATAAAGTCAGGCATCCCAGAAGGTCCTAGAATGACTCTGAGTGACTCAACAATTTGCGCTTCTATGACGGTACCATTTGCGCTTCATGGCCAGAGCATTTGTTCAGCAATGAGATCACAAAAGGTGATCTATTTTCGACGCCTTCGAAGCCTTCAATCTTTGAATTTTTGAATAGTCTTTGAGTATTTGCCAGTCACAATTCACAAGGCATACTTTGCAACACATTCCTCAACATATCGCAACACACTGCATCTGTGCATATCTCTGATCTCTTTTGCACCGCACAGGTTTCACAGGTTGCGCAGGTTGCAAGTTGCGGCTTGCGCAAGTTGCGCAAGTTGCGCAAGTTGCGCAAGTGCAAGTTCGCCTGTATAGCGAGGTTCATTTACTTCTATTGCTGGGACGGAGCTTCTCCAAATCCACTCTGTTCTTAGGCAGCTAAGGCTTAGCTAATATGCGCAAAATAGGAGTCTGAAGTAGGAGTCTGAAGGTCGTTTTGGTAAACCTCCACTTGAAGGAATAGTCAGAACACAGTTTCCAAAGCTACAGCATAAGATTGACATCAACGAATCAACATGGTTTCTTTTCTCAACATCCTGGACTAGTTTGAATTTCCGTTCGCCGACCATGTTGCTGGGTGATTTCCATCACTCATAGACTCACAGTCCATATGATATAAACAGTTGCAGTTCACACATACCATATTCGTACCTGCCAAAAATCTGAAAAACTTACAGTTTGCAAACATTGCAAGTTGAAACCAAAAACTCAAACGAAAGAAAAACTCAAATTCTAAGTTCTCTAAGTTCTGAGGCCCAGGCCCTTTGGGTCATGATGGGATAGTCCCCTGCGCCAACTTGAGTTTTTTTGTTTCCATTATCCATGTGGGAAACAAAGAAATTTGCGAAGCCGCGCACCATCAAAGAATGTGGTCTCAATCACTACATTGCCAGACCTCATTGTGACATTTTCACACACACGTTGAGAAATGTTGTGACATTTTGTTATGCATTTCTTGGATAGTTTGACTCCTGAGAAAGGTTTTTGATTTTGTTTCAATCAAACAAATAAAACCCACACGACGACACAAACACAACACAGCGAATCTGAAGAGAAGCAGACAGTAATTCGGCCGGCAGCATTTCTTCCTCTTCAGCAGCCTTGCAGAACAAAAGTTGCATCACTTGCATCAGAAACCCGGAATCGCGTATCAGGAAGGCGCATAGATATCATTTGCAAGGCCTCAATGGTCTGCTGCCAAGTGTTTGTCGAATTCGGTATGACGAAGCCAAAATGGAAATTCCATTCCTTCGATAGACAACAAGCACTGATACAAAATTTGTGCAAGAAAATGCAAAACTGTTTTCAAGATTTCCAGGACAAGTTTCTTCCAAAGGTTCGCCTTTGAAAATCACCTCAAAACAACTTTTGAAGAGCCAGCCATGGTGCGTGTAAAACTGTGCAATCAATGATTCATGTGAGTGTGAAGATCATTGTGATCTGAGGGTGGAACCGATTGTACCAATCGCAAACTGGTCAGCACTTCCAGGGATGAAAAGTTGAGTTCACGAGATATCTGGCACATCGCAAATGCAACATGACGCAACATTTTCAGTTTTAGGGGTTTGGCAATGTTCAAATTCTAGGGTGTGAGGCTGATCCTTGGTGACTTCTGTGCACAAAATTTATTTAGATTTTGTTGCGGTAGCCAGTGAAGTCTAATTGGTGTGAACGTCACTCAACCAAATCATTGCGAACAACATGCACCAAAAATTCCCGTCGCAGCCTGTTTGCATCTCAAAATTTCACATGGTATCTGTGCCTGCAGGGTTGGATAGGAAAGTCCAATTTTATGTTGTTCGGAGGCATTGGTATGATTGTTCAGCGTCAGTTTTGGAAGGTTGCGAAGGTGATACATGTGATACTTTGTTGGTTCAAGCACGTCTCACAGCAGGAAGCAAACAATGGCGGATGCACCTTCGGCTAGATGAATACGTGACTCTGATAAATGACAAATTGGCACGCTGGAAAAAATAATATGTTGTGCACGAGTCTCCGTTCTCCTCCATTTCATCTTGTCCACAATCCCATTCGCCACTTTCCCACATAACTGCAGGCCAAACGCAGTTCAATTGGCAAAGTCAAAAAATGATGAAAGTGTTGAAACACAAAGAAAGGCACTGCAAATCACCAGTTCATGCAGCATGATTCATGCAGAATGCGCCTTGCCCAGTGGCTGCATCACGCATGTTCATCCAATTGATGCGAAAGCCCTACCATTTTGCAGCAAATAACGATCGGAAACTATTGTGATTGGTTTTACCCAACAAAGCAGTGATATCACGTTGTGGACGGCGCATCAGCCCCGCATGTTCACAGCAAAACGCCTCTCGTATTGCATAGGCATGCCCACCTCAGTGCAATAGGGGTTCACTCTGAAAACAATTTTCGAGCTGCCCAATGACAATCAAAATGCATTGGAAAATTACCTTGGTGCAGCACCATCATCCATGATTTTTGGCCAAGTATGTTTGTGCCAAAACGAGGCACTGGTCACAGCCAAAGAGTTCGCAGATTGAGTGGCGTGTTTGTTTGCCTGCTTGTTGGGATAAACAAATGTATGTATGTATGTATGTATGTATGTATGTATGTATGTATGTATGTATGTATGTATGTGTATGTGTATGTGTGTATGTATATATATATATATACATATAAATATAAGATATATAAAAGATATATGTATACAAAAAAAACAATGTGTATATATATATACCAATATTAGCAAAAAATAAACAACAAACAAATAAGGATGTAAGTTTATGTATATACATTAAAACAAATGTTTGCGTGCATACGGATGATCACAAAGCATCTTCATCCGGCGGCCGAAAAAACCCAAACAACCTGTAATTTGTCCAAGACCAGCGTCGACACGGTACCACGCGCAAAAACGTCATCAAAACAAACACACGCGGTATACCCAATGAAACCGGTTCCATGAAATTGATAAGGCCCAAACAAGGTCCAACACAATCGTTGGCAACAAATGCAAAGCCTTTGGCATTGTTGGTGCAACGAAATGTTTATAGTCAGGGCATTTCTGCACCATGGTTTTCTATGCGGGAATGCTCTGAATGCCGCTGAACACTGCTACTGACCGAAGGCATCTGCACTCTCCCCTTAGCGCATGAAACGAAGCATGCGAAGCAAACAGTTATGTTCAGATATCAACCACCTAATATGTGTCAGTGTGTGTTCAGGTTTAGGCCTGGCGCCATTTGAGTGCAGATCCTGTGGGATACACTGTAGGTTTGGAATGGCAATTCCAAAGAGTTTGGAGCGAAAAGTCGACGCGGAAATTTGTTTGTGCTGATTTTCCTGGAACCAAGAGCGCCTCGAACATACCATTCAGTTACACTGCTCAGTTTGTGCAGTGACTAGCATGAACTGTGCATGACTGACATGTAAGCATGTAAGCATTGATGCCGTACGGTAAATATTTTGCACCCCGCCTCGATATGCACCTTTGGTGCTATATCGCTATGTTCGTCAGGATTGTTGTAAATCCATTGATGCCGTAGCTTCTGTGGAACGGTGTGAAAATTGGCAATAAAAGCCATACTGCAGAACCTCATGCCTGCAGCACCAATTGTTTTATGTGCTGCCTGCCTCTCTCAGGTTGCTAGAACTCTCTCGGTCCATCGGTTGGGGTGGGTTTCCTCAGGTATTGACTCGTCTGAGTCTCCATCATCTTGTCGAGGTTCTGGCATACTGAATGCTTCACTGAAACATTGCATGAGGCCGTTTGTCTCGATGCCCTGAAGGTAGAGGAGCTTGATGTAGTGGCCATAGGCTTCAACATGACTTCTACCCAGGTGACTCCTCGCATCGTGCACCGGTTGTATGTGGGAGACTGGTCATTTTCCGACATCTCATTCTCTCCTGTTAGTGATTCCAGCATTCGATGCCTTTTTGCTGGACCGGCACCATGTAGATGGCATAAGAGATTCTGAAGCCATTTTCGATCTTGAGTGTATCACAGTGTATCTCATGATTTTCCCACAGCTTCGTTCTTCATGAGCACGTCTCAGTCTCCTCACTCAAAACTCTCGAAAGGTTCCACGTGACCAGGGATTCCAGGGAGATATCCTCTGAAGTCACGTGGGTCCAGTTGCAGGCTGCATTGCATACTCGGCTCGATCGGGGGGCTTGTGTGCGAATGAACTCGAAGTTCGGATTGCGAAGCGTCCACCATGAATATGCTCCAAGTAGAAGCGTCCACAGGGTCAGAAATTCAATGCCAAACCATGAGACTTCCATACAGCCTCCATGCACATCTCCAGGTCCTGAACTGCAACCTGCCAACTGCATGGACATAGCGCTCTGCCGTGCAATCAATGCACTGTGTCCAGCTCTCTCACGCTGGCGTCGTTCTTCTTCAGGTTCATCATCATTGCGTGTGGGTGAATCCTCATCAGATGACAAGTCATCTATCATTCCAAGAATTTCGTTTGCTAGGCCACGTTCTGAGTCACCCGCAGTAGCCAAGAACTCCATGAAGTCAGCAAGCACTGACTTGCGAGCTGAATAGGCAAACTCTTTCTCTGGATTCTGTTTTATCACTGCCTTCTCATGACGACGGCGGCGCGTTCAAACATCCATGAAATCATACCCTCTGGCGTGAAAGCTGGGTTGTCAATGTAAGACACTGCAACACGTCAATTACACCAGGTGATTCGCAGTCTGCACAACTGCACTACCTCAGCAAGCTATGAGGTGAGCCAAGCACAAAAGGCACTTCTGCTTTTGCCACGCACAGAGAAAGGCTCTAGTAATACTTCCTCTGAAGAGCACTACGCACTGCTACCCTCTCCAACTCACTTTGACGAGTTGCAAGAGCACTAGCCAAGAGCTACTAGAGAAGATGACAATGCTAGGAAAAGATCAACTGAGTGGACTCTGAGCGGACTCTGAGAGCTAGAACGCGGCTGTCTAGTCTCACCTTAATCCTGTTTCACTTTCCGTTTCACCTTTCCTTTGGCTACGTGACGGTGTCATTGCTGGTCTTGGGATTGCCCCTGACATGTGAGAATTTATGCCCGAGTGGCCTGCTCTGTGTGATCTCGGGGCTCCTGGCTGGGGGGAGCCTTGGTTTCCGCACAGTGCTGTGTTGTTTTTTCTCACATGTCAATCGTATGGCGAGTTGTTATGCGTCTTTTATTTCTGGTATTGGTGGCTGCTAGTTACCCTGGTGGCTGCTAGTTACCCTACGCTACCGAAACACCGATGGGGTTAAAGCTGAAAATCACCACGAACCCCTGTATTAAAACGCAAAGAACCCTTGGCATCGTTTGATGCTTCAAATGAAAAATCCTTGCAGCTCAAATGATCTGAAACGGTGAAAACTGAACAAAGCTCCTGATCTCACTCGCTCCTTTTTTCTTACACCAGTGACAACGGGCTGTGCAAGTTCGAAACGTCAACCTGTCGCTCCAAAGTTGTTGCCACCAGATCCAGCAATCAAATAAATCGCTGGTAAGACAAGAAGTTCAAACGGTGCTTCCAATTCGTATCTGCAATTCACTTTATGGATCCCCATTCCTGCAAGTCCAACCGGGATCTGCAGTGCAGCATCGAATCCAGCAAAAAGTCGATCGCCAAAAAGAGCCCACTCAGTCGTAAGGATGAGTGGTGCGCCAAAGGGAGGGTTGGGTGGGGCAACCTCTACCAAAAAAGTACGAGGCTACCCGCCACCCGTCCCTCAGAGCCAATGTTGCCGAGCACTAAATGTCCCAACATGATCTTCACCAAGTTGAACTGCATTGTAAAGCAAGGACTGCAAATGATTGTTGGAACTGTACACTGTTGAAAACATTTGCAACTGAGTGTTCGAGGTTCCAAGGTTGACTTGTTTACTTCGAGTGATCCATCAGCCAGCGAGAAGGAGACAGCAACAAGAGGAAGAGCAACCAGCAGCACGAGAACAAGTTCTCTCACCAACACCAGAAATAAGGAGCTATCAACAAGTTGACCGCAGACTTATTTCTGGTATTGGTGGCTGCTAGTTACCCTACGCTACCGAAACACCGATGGGGTTAAAGCTGAAAATCACCACGAACCCCTGTATTAAAACGCAAAGAACCCTTGGCATCGTTTGATGCTTCAAATGAAAAATCCTTGCAGCTCAAATGATCTGAAACGGTGAAAACTGAACAAAGCTCCTGATCTCACTCGCTCCTTTTTTCTTACACCAGTGACAACGGGCTGTGCAAGTTCGAAACGTCAACCTGTCGCTCCAAAGTTGTTGCCACCAGATCCAGCAATCAAATAAATCGCTGGTAAGACAAGAAGTTCAAACGGTGCTTCCAATTTGTATCTGCAATTCAGTGTATGGATCCCCTCATAACCGTGTTCTCTGCCAGTGCTAACATGATTTCCTGCAAACCGTCTTGGACAGACGTACCAGGCACATTGAAATCTATGAATCTCTGTATTTCCCCTCTCGAGGGTTCGTCGGCTATGTTTGAAGGTGTAGGAATCCTTGCATACCAAGGTGTAGTGCAACTTGACATTTCCAATTTCAGTAAAAATTCGATCAAACAGTTTGCAGTGATGTTTCTACCATTTCCGGAAATGGCAACATCTCTCGCCGAGTTATTATCCACAAAACAAATCAGAGAAAAAGCTGCAATGTACTCGCGCCAGATTGAAAAAGCGAGCACCAATGCCAAAAGCTCCGCTTCGAAAATTATCGTCTTCTTTGTTTCAGATCCTAAAAGCTCCATCTGTTCATTGCTCAATGCCACTGAAACGTATGCTGCCTGTTTTCCGTTGGGTCCTACTAGGACACCCCCCAAACCGCATTTCCAGTCGCATGAAGTTGGTTCATAACAAGCATCTGTATAGATATGCCAAACATCGTCGGTGCTCAAGTGTATGTGTCGTGGCTCCGCATGCTCCAAGAAGATGGAGAACCGTTTAAATGCATCATATGTCCTCGTACTCAGCTTTGAAGTTTTTAGGTCACACGCGTGATTTGTGACCTCTCTCATACATAATTTGCCCAATCGGCCAAACAACTGACCGTCCATGAATTGCATGCGTCCCCTCAGCTTTTGCGCCTCCAAAGTTGTCATGCTGCCTTTGCCCAAAAACGCATTTATTGTGTTGATCAACTCTGTAGATCTTTTCTCAGTGTTTGTAAATTTCACCAGTCCTTTGTCTGCTTCGTCCAGGATGATGCGAATGCCCAGCGCACCAAATTCTCTACAAAAGGTATCCGCCTTGTCCCCTTCTTCAGCAAATTTCCACCCAAGCAGTTTAAACAAAAGAGATACGGACTGCTCCGCATTGTTCACATGCTCATCACGGCTGAAGACCACATAGTCGTCAAAGAAGCAACTCCAAATGAGATTAAGGGCTTTGACACCTATGTACCAAACTGCATTTGACAGTCTCAAAAATGAATACACACTTCTGGTTGCACCAAACGGTGCTGCAAGCAACTGAAACACTTCCGCCCTGGCTTTGTCCGGGTTGTAGACTGCTACAAACGCAAATGACAAGGAGTTTGGTGAGATTGCAATTTGCTTATATGCGCTTTTTAAATCAAAGACCTTCCCATCAGCTTTGAACCTTTGCTGACCTTTAGCACTGCTAAAAGCATGGCTGCGATGAAATCTGCAGAATGTGGTTTGGGCGATTCTGCTGTTTGCACCGTTTGGTTAATTCCACTAGCGCTGAGATCATCTATGAGTCTGATTTTGCCTGGCTGTCGAAGGCCGAATCTTCTGCTGATCACAGCGTCTCCTGGTAAATCTTCCAGCTGCAAAGGCCCTGTGGCCCAACCAAACTCAACTTCCTCCAATGTTTTGCTGTATACCATGTCGTCAATCTCTTTGTCTCCCGATGAAGAACATTTGAAGAAATCGAGCATTCGTTCTGATTTGCTGGCTTCTCTCAACTGCTGTACTGTTCTCTCCGCTGGCTTGAGTGATTTTTCAAAAATTCCAAAAGGCTTTACCTCACCCACAAGGTCTGTTCCGTCAACCAGCTCGTCAAACGCACCTACATCGGGATACTCTAGGTCTTCCAAAATTTCTTTGAACAAGGCTAAACGCTTTGCTTCCAAAATCTTGGCTGCATGGTCAGGAAGTGCGTTTTTGATTTCCATATCTCGCTGCTGAAGTTGCTTGGCTCTTTCAGTCCATTTTGCAAACCATTGAGTCCTGCTTGAAGGTAAGGAGTGCAACCCGTCTGTGCCAAAGTTGTTTTCGATGGCAGTTTGCAACACTTGGGGCACTAACCTGGAAAAGGATTTGGGATGCCCTCGCTCTAATGCTTCTTGTATAAATTCATCTGGACTAAATGGAATGCCCCACGCTTGCTCGAAAACACCAACTCCTAGCTGCTTGGCTTCTAACAAACCCCCATTTGACCGTAATGGAGTGGTACGCAACAACTGGGCACCAGCAGGTAAGCAATCCACATTCGCTTGACAGGATGATGGAATGTTCCACCTTTGTTTCAACCGTTGCATGCATTCCACAGGTGCTGTTGCAAGTTCAGTAAAAGGCCCCGTGATAAGGACCACTTTTTTGTGCTCCCTGACTATTGGCGGCATTTTTGACGCCTTTGGCTGCGCAGTTGCAATGGCTCTCATGGAACGCAATGACACATCAGGTTGTTCTTGCATTTGTTCAAGAGGAGGTTTCCAACCATGCACTGACAGAATGGATGCGAAGACTCTCGCAATGGCATGGGCTAGTCCTTTAGGATATGCTGTCTCTTCACTGGTTGAAAATGAAAACCAGACCCTGAATGTACCAAGCCCCAAGGTTTATGTTTGTGCGCATCTGATTCACCTGGACAGCAAAGGGAAAGAGAAGAAAAGGCTGGATGGTTCCACGCCAAAACAGTCCACTTGGGTCTTTCTCCACCGTAAGCGCAAGCTTGATGCGCCGAATATTGCAATGGCGCCTTGATTTTCTTCCAGAGTCTCGTAAGCCAAAAGATAGATGATCTTGGGTTTTCTACAACAACCAACAACCCTTTGTCATGCGCCAAATCCACCAGTGTTGCCAAAAAATCATACAGTTGTTTGCAGCCGACACTCGATCTCTGTCGCGTGGCCCCAAACCCGGTAAACCTTCCGGCCAGTCAGCTGATCTCAGAGGCTTGGGGCCGTGCATGATTTTCCCGGTAGCATCACGCAACTTGATATTCCTAGCTAATGAACAAGTGCCGCAAGGAGGCGCCAGAAAAATGCCAGCAACCAAAGGTGATTCCAACCACTGCAAAAGTACTCATTGCTCTGACTCAACAGTAAGGTCCAAACGTTTCGCAGTTGCAACAGCTTTGTCAAGTTTGTGATCTACGCCAAATGCGTCCTTTACCCCAACCTCTTTGAGGCTCGCTGTAAGTCTGGCACTGCCACAAAAAAATCAATAACAACTGGACATGTCAACTGCTCCACGTTAAATGCAAAACCGTCTGCAACTGAAGTTTGCATTGAACTGACATTGGAACACAGGTTTTGGTTTACTAAACCATCCAAGTCTGCTGGGTTCCCAACTGAAGGCTCTTCTCGATGAGATTGGGTTTCAGTAATGCAAGCTGAATCACTGCTGATGGCTGGGTTTGCAAAAATGTGATCAAAACTGGAACCAACATCACTAACAGTCATCGCTAAAGTGTGATTGGTTTTCTGCTGAATTAAGTTGCCGTCTTCGACACGCTTTCTGCATGAATCACTTGAAGCAACTGATTCTGAAAAATTGTCACAAGAAAAATTGTCTTGGCCCTGGACACATCGATTCGACGGATTACTTGCAAGGCTTTCACCATTGGCATGCTGCTTGTCGAGTCAACTGGACTCGTGCTTTTGGATTCCATGCATTCCATAGCACTTTGCACAGATATGAAGGCCACGCCTGCATTTTGCTCCATCCATCTGCTGCTTCCGAACATCCTGAACTGCTGTTGAGCCCAAAACAAATCGCTTCTCCGGCCGGGTTTGAAGCTGTGCCACCCAACTTGAAAATGTGGTTCGGCACTCGAACCTTTCCCTTGCCACCCTTTTTGCCACCTTTCGACTTGATCCAGGGTTTTTGCACATGTAAGTTCGCACCCTTTCCTCCATGGCTCACAGAAGGCTTGGTGGTTTTGGATGGGCTTGGAGTGCTGTCTTTCTTGGCAATCATCGCAGCAAGGTGAAAGACACGCGATAGCTTTGGAGACTCTCCATCAGCTTTGAATCCAAAGCAAGCACCCCCGTCTCATCCCTTTTGGGTCGCACACCCTCCTCCAGGAGCATCTGCCATACAGATTTGTCAGCGTTCGCGAGCTGACTCACATTGGTCCTTGCATATCCCGCAGGTGGATCCCTATGTAAATGTCCAAAAAGAGTGGTAAGGTACCTGGTGTAGCTCTCATGGGTGATGAGGTCTGCGAACACCAGCGCTATGCCACGACGCTGAAAGGCTTCTTGCACTTGAAGCGCTGAAGTGACCGTCATATCGGGAGTATCCTGCTTTTCCTTCACAATCAAACTCTTTGCTGAAATGTCCAACTGTTTTGTTGCCGACTTCTGATTCAAAACTTCATGGGTCCTCGAAATACAATTTTCAGGAGGAATGTATTTGATTTCATTGAGTTGCATCATACTTGCCGTAGTGTCAAGGAGTGCATGACCAGGTTCAAGTGGCCCTTCTATAAGGAGGCCGGTCAGCCTGTTCTTGATCGCCCGCATCTTGGTTTCGCGCTCAGCGACAGGCACCTTCTTGATGGTGGAGGCGTCAGTAGCATTGACCTGATCCTGTAAGGATGCTAAGACCATTGTTTGACTCTCGAATAGGAGACGTTTGGCACCCGCAATATCTGCTATTGTAGCTCCAGTCATCAGCTGGTTTGTAACCCGTGTTTCAAAACTTTCATCCGCAATGTTTTGTCCAGGCTGCCCATGTGCATACGCAAACGTTCCAAATGTTTGCAAACCAGCTCTGCTCAAGCTGCGCTTCAATTCCTCTGACAGCCTCAAATCAATGGTGCGTTGGACAAACTGAGCTTCTGAATCGAGTAAACTTGCCATTGCAAATGCATTCACGCGACTACAATTCCTTCCAAGAAAAATTTGTTTTTCCAAAATGCTGCATCACATGTTGTACAAATGACCTGAGAGATTTCCTGCCTTCGTTTACCTGCCTTCCAGTTCATTGAATTGGACAGCTTCTGTGTTTGGCACTATAATTCGACTATTATCATCATGTATCACATGAAGCTAAAACATACAAATGACAATGCTGACATGTTCTTTCCACGCAATGCTCATGAGCCACGCTCCAAAGCATGCCTTTGATAGGGTGCCTCGCAACCCAAATTCCAAAAAGAAAATGAAAATCTCTCCAAGCACTTGCCTTGCACATCTTGGACAAGGTCACAACCAACTTCCTAACTGCCATGCAGCTCGGACAACACTGACCCTGCCGTGCCACCTTTTTCTCCTTACGCAAATGCTTTCGGTAAGGCGCCGTCTTTGACAGCGTTGCTTTTGCATCTTTTGCATACATCAACTGAGTCAAATTGCGTGATGTATTTATAGTTCTGGTTCAATGATCTTCCACATGAAATCATCCTGGCCCCTCGACCGTCCACAAAAC